ACTCCCCTACAGCTCTGTTCCTTCATCCTTTGTTTCCTCAACGCAACTCTGCTGGCAGCAAAAATCCACATACCAGGGACAAGGTCGGATGCCCAATTAATTTTCGCAGAACTGTCCAATGTTTTGTTTCTCTAGGGAAGATTGGGTAACCTGATGGCATGGTTATCTGTGTGTGTTTGTGAAACTGGTATAAGATAACATACACAGTCAAGAAAGCACGCATGTGACCAAATAGTGTTTTGGTAAGGTAATGTCAGCTTTGTGAAAGGGGGGAATTATAGCACTCTCTCAGTAAATTAAGTCTGTTCATAGACAGGCTATGGAAAACCTAACCTTTCCTTTGCTAGATTACAAACCACAAAGAGAGGAGAGAAAAAGCTAATTTCCAGGGACACCCGAGAGACCTGGTAGGCCTGGGACAACTCACACAAAATAAATCCAGAAGAAAAATCCCCAAAAAAGTAGGCCTCATTACCTGAAGCCATGTCTAAAACACATTTTAATCCTGATACACTATGTTCAACATGTCACATCAAATCATCCAAAATGTGCTCTTGCTGCAGGAAACCCAAGCAGCCACAGCTGACAATCCGGGAGACAGGGCCCCCAGGACCTGTGGTGGCTCAGCTGAGGACATTACTGCACGCAAAGCAATTCCACACACACACACACACACACACATAAACGCATACAGAGTCTGGTGGCAGACAACAGTCACCCTGTCATCTTCGATTGTGGGCCGCTCATGTTGGACCAGCGACACCTCACACACAGCTCAGTGGGCCTCGGCCCCCCTGGTGTCTCGCTGCCGCCACAGAGGGACTGCCAGAGAGTTACTTCAGCTCTGCAGAACAAACACAGAAATCTGCCTGTCTAAAAAGCATGCAGTCCTGTCATGAAAAATTCTAAATATATCCCAGTGCGATGGGCTTTAATTTGGTGCTGTAACTCACAGATCAATTGATTGAGTACAGATTTAACTGAGCAAAACTGATATGACCTTGAGAGAATTTGAGCAAGGCTGGAAGTTTGCCGTCACAGAGCAACTCGTGGTTGTAAGTTCAACTGTGCTGCAGAGGTCACCATAAAATAAACCTAAAGCGGAGTATGGGAATTGAGAAAATAAGACAAGCTTTAAATATACAAAATGTGTTATAGTGTTTTCACAGTGCATTTGTTTAGTCAAATAGCTGTTGCTGTATTTTTTTTTTTACTTCTCATGTATTAGGTTAAGGAAATTATTTACACTGTAAGCAAAAACGGAAACCATCAACAGAAATCATTTAGAGCTCAAATGGAGAACATGTTGACAAACATATTTGACTCCAGGCGAGTGTCAGCAAGCCTAGCAGCCCACGGGCCCACATGTGTTTGGCAGATGGCACAGAGTAGATGGCACATAAGGTCAGAAAGAGCACTCAGCTGTATATCTCTCACACATACAGGCCCTCCAGGAATGTCTACACAAGGCCAAGGATTATGGCAACTAAGCACTGGGGTTTGTGTTTATGTGGAGGTGCTTCTGTTTGTGTGTGTGTGTGTGTGTGTGTGTGTTTGCGCTTGTTGATAAAGAGCAGACCATTGTAAAAATTACACCGACACCTCTAACACCTCTGCTCTCGATCATTAATGTTTACTTTACTTTACAGAAGGATACCGAGGTTTTATTCTCAGATCACCGACCCTGCACCTCTAACAGATTATTAAATCTTTTTCACAAAACACACACAGCTCATCATTTATGTCCAAACTCACTGGTAACATTATTAAACACACATGTACACAACACGACATTAGCTGGGAACCTGACCCGGTGTACCACGAGCCAGTAGTTTGAACGCTAAGCAGAAATGTACACATAGCTAAATTAAAATGCTCCTTCTCACGTAGAGATGAGCTGTTACTCAAAATGTACAAATACAAACTGGAACCAACTTACAAAACTAACGTTAGCTTGCTAATATGTTACCCATTTATAAATATGGTTGACATTTCAAAATGCTATTTAATAATGATGTGAATTAGGAAAATAACATAATACACCTAAAATATTAATCATAAAATTATTAATAAATCATTGTGCTAATAACATCAAACTTAGCTACTAGATAGCATCAGTTAGCTAGGGTAGCATAATTACATATTTCAAACATATGTTATATTTCTCCATATATCCACGTTTAAATAAAATAAATGAATATTTAAATTTACAGAAGATTGGCATGTAAGATTAACACATTGCTTGACCCCCTGAAACTTATTTTTTTTAGAGCTATGCTACAGTTTGACACTAGCAGCTGACTGCTTTTGATTGGACAACCTTATATATCCTGTCAATGTGGACAACGCTACATATGTTTTCTAGCAACTGATATACTAATGTCCTTAATAGCTAAAACACTTCTTAATTTTAATGGTGCACCCCAATTTAGCAAACCACTAGCTTGAAACTAACTAAGTTTACACAACTTTTTTCTGGATGATTTTAAGTTTTGCCAGCTGAGAGACAGGAAACACGGGGCTAGAGAGGGGTATGACATGCAACAGAGGTCGAACTGTGGAATGACTTAATAATGGATAATGGAACAAATGGCTAGTGGGCAGAAAAAGAGAGAGGGGCACATGGGGGTGGGAGGGACGCATATTCCTTGAGTTTTAAACCAGAACAACAAACTCTTGGTCACAAGATGCAGACTGTCCCATGAGGCATTATTTATAGTAAACGTGCTTACCATTATTATTACTGCCATTGCTCTACAGTTAGATGATTAACTGAACAGATTACATGCTTTCTTTATCTGTAACAAAAAGTAAGACTCCTCACATGCTCTTTCTTCAAGTCACTGTTTTATACTCATTTGAGGGCTGATAAGTGTGATAAGCAAGAGCAGACAGATTTTTATTTCTGATTTACAGTACATGTTTTGATTACACCAAAACAAAGGCTAAAACTATTCCTATTTTGTAAAGACTTCCCTGTGTTGATAAAAATAATAATAATTCAATAATACGAAATATTATATCATCAATCAATGACACAAATGACAGATGACACAAATGTCTATTTGTCATGTTTGCAAACTGTAAATCAACCTACCAAGTTTCTAACAGTAATAAATTAATCCACATTTTGTTTACTTTTCATCAAGTGCTGTTTTACCTACTGCAATTTCCTCAACTATTCATCCATAACTGCAACCCATATCCCACACATCTTTCCTTCATACATCATGGGCACAGAGAGGATTTCCTTTGGCTGTTGATCTTTATCAGCGGTCTACTCTGGTCTACATGACATAAACCTCCATGACAGTGCTGATAACACAGCAGGAAATTCCCATGTAGACTAAAACACAGCGGAGCCTCTGCACATTACTGTGCACAGCAACAAAGAATGCTCCAGGAAAGGCTTTTATCACCTCTTAGTCAAGAGATTCCCTGCTCCATTTCATCAGATTTACAATGTCTAATTACACAGATAAGTGCAAGTGGTTTGTGTGTGCACGGGTGCCAAGGCCAACACATGGCACAGGAAACACGTGGATCTCCGTTGAGCTATTAATTGGAAACTCAGAGATACGACGGATCGATCTGAATGTGTGCAACAGGAAGTCTGAGATTCAACCGAACCAATTCTATTTACTTACAGGTAACTCTACAACCTTATTATCAACAACAGGCCCATCCTCACAGCCGCCAGTGTCCGTACAACATCACAGATCCAAAGTGTGACGCCTTCAGCCCCACTTTGTTCAACAAGTGTTGGGGTTTGGGGGGCTGCTGAGGGTGACCCCTTATTGTTACGTGCTCCCTTTGTGGTCGCACTCCTCACTGTACCGAGAAGAGAAAAAGAAAGGCCTTCTCTAACAGTCGGTCATGCCCCAGTGCTCCTGGCAACAACAGGTCCCGAGGACGCAGACCTGCCTGGCCTATATTGGCTTGGCTCTCAGTTAGCGGTGGCGGCACTAGCCCCCTGTCAGCTGTCCCATTCAGGGCCCGGGTCGGCCCTTTATTAAAGCTTTGAAGACTGCTGAATAAAGGGGCGTCCTATGTTTAGATGATAGAATGTAAGCAACTGGTTTTCTGCTTGGGCAACACAAGACAAAGCCTCCTTCTGAACACGGGGAGTATGTGAGAGTGTGATTGAGAAAACTACAGAGGGAGGGAGAGAGGAAGAGGGGTAACGCCACAAATTGTGGAGGTAATCACAGAGAAGTGGCGGCTGCGTGTTGGTGGAACAGAGGCTTGTCAAGGAGAAATACAACCAGTGGTTATTATCACAGGTGGTTCTGATGCCCCAATGATTAATACCAAGGAGCCAAGGCTTCTCTCTTAATTAGAGGATGAGAGCCCTGCCGACGCCTCCTCAAAGTATGCCCTATATACTACATTATATATGCTACACTTCACTGAACCAGGATAAGCAGAACCTGCAGAGTAAAGCTCGGCTGATATTATCGGCCATTATTGGGTTGTCACAGACATATTGGCATTGCTATATACTGTATACTGGTGGAAAATGCATCAAACGTCAGCATAAATTGGACAATAATTGGTTTTGAGATTTGTATCAATATCAGTATTGGCCTCAAAA